TGCCCTGTATACAACTAAAGCTATTTTCGGTCAAAATACAATAAGAATATGCAAATTAAGATTCTATTGGTAAATATTAGTTATAATCATACAAAAAGAGAAGATAACCCACAAGTTGGGCCCAATTACATACATGTGTTTATATTATTATTATTAAATAAAATCAAATAGATATATATATATGTGTGTGTGTGTGTTTAAAAAAATGTATTCACACACATAATTAGTGAGAAATGAAAAATTTATTTTTTGAAATGTGAGGGGTGGAGAAATTCATTTTGTGTAATGTGAGGGATGAAAAAAATCATTTTATAAAATATGAGGGACGAAAAAATTTATTTTATAAAATGTGGAGGACTATAGATGAGATTATGTAAAATATAATTTGACAAATTTACCCTTAAAAAATGATCATGTGCCTTGCACATGATGGATTCCGGCCAAAAAATGATCGAAAACCTAGTAAGGGACTAAATTTGTCCGATGTGAATATGTAAGATATATAAAATTACAATTTTAAAAGTGAGGGACGAAAAAAGTTATTTTACAAAATGTAAGGGACGTTTTGGACGATTTTCCCTAAATAAAATGAAGAAACTAGTTGTGGATACTAAATTCATATAAATGATGGACGAAATTAGTAAGCTATGATAAATTTAACAATGACCCCTAGGCTTTAATTCTGTTGTCCACGTACCCATAAACAATTTGAATTACACATTAGACTCCAGTACTTGTCATAATCCATTAAACAGTAGACAACGCAGAGGAGACTAGGATTTTTATGTCGAGACCAAACAGGCTTCATTTACGTTCACTCAGCGACTAAACCAGAAAACCTCGCCGCCGGCAGTGTGCCACAAGCCAGGGGCATTTTGGACATCTTCAGAATCTTTCAAGCCACCTACATTCAAGCTGTCGGGCTAATTCCGATAAAGACGACGCCAAATTTAAGATCTGACGGAGATTTCACATTAACGATATGGCCAAAGAGAACAACTCCTCCGCTATGGATGTGGACAACCAGAATTCGGAATCCGTTGATCAGATTAATAGCCCTAGGTTCTCTATCAATGGTAATTTACTTTCCCATAAAGCTCTAGACAGCTAATTTTAAAGTGATAATTTAGTTTTTTTTTTTGGTGAATTTACAGTTTTGCAGCTCTTGAAATCCGCTCAGATGCAGCCTGGATTGCGGTTTGGCGATTACGCTCGTTACCGGTATAACCTACGCTTGTACACATATGGTATATGTTTATGAGTAATTTGGTACGATGAAGTTCCGGGAAGTAGGCTTAATTTTTGTAAGAAATGCCGTTTGATATTGTTTTTACCAGTATATAAGCGTAAGTGTGCTCTATATAGGTTTATGAGGGAATTTATGACATTGATCATTGGAGGTGGCAGGGTTAAATTTGTGAAAAATGTGGTGTGATAGAGGTGTACTTTTGAGGGAATGTGAAATTGACCAGTTTTTGCAAATTTTTTAGGAGGTACTGTACAGCTCGGCTCAGGAGATTGTACAAGTCGTTGAAATTCACGCATGGCCGTGGTAAATATAGTAAAAGGGCGATTACAGCTTCTATGGTCACTGAAGTGAGGTAATAGATTGCCAAGACCAATGGTTGAATTTGATTGACATTACAGTTGGTTAATGTTTTAATTTCGCTTTTGCTATTTGAAGAACAAATATGCTGTTTTGTCTCTCATTAATAATTTCTTAATGGTCGTTAATCTATCCTGATTCTGCGTGGTGGTTGGGGACACTGTAGGTATCTTCATGTGTTCTTTATACAGCAGAAAGAGCTTGGAGCCATGCTATGGAAAAGAAAACGCTGCCAGATGGTCCAAATGCACGTCAGCGTGGCTATCTGATTGGTAGGCTGCCAAAAGCAGTCAAATGGGCTACTTTGTTTCAAGACTTGTGTTCCATTAAGGGAGATTCTAGGACATCTTTGGAAGCAGAGGTGTGCTGATTAATTCATCATTTTGCACAGCTGCTGTGCCCTGTATACAAATAAAGCTATTTTCGGTCAAAATACAATAAGAATATGAAAATTAAGGTTCTATTGGTAAATATTAGTTATAATCATACAAAAAGAGAAGATAGCCCACAAGTTGGGCCCAATTACATACATGTGTTTATATTATTATTATTAAGCAAAATCAAATAGATATATATATATATATGTGTGTGTGTGTGTTTAAAAAAATGTATTCACACACATAATTAGTGAGAAATGAAAAATTCATATTTTGAAATGTGAGGGATGGAGAAATTCATTTTGTGTAATGTGAGGGATGAAAAAAATCATTTTATAAAATATGAGGGACGAAAAAATTTATTTTATAAAATGTGGAGGACTATAGATGAGATTATGTAAAATATAATTTGACAAATTTACCCTTAAAAAATGATCATGTGCCTTGCACATGATGGATTCCGGCCAAAAAATGATCGAAAACCTAGTTAGGGACTAAATTTGTCCGATGTGAATATGTAAGGGATATAAAATTACACTTTTAAAAGTGAGGGACGAAAAAAGTTATTTTACAAAATGTAAGGGACGTTTTGGACGATTTTCCCTAAATAAAATGAAGAAACTAGTTGTGGATACTAAATTCATATAAATGATGGACGAAATTAGTAAGCTATGAAAATTTAACAATTGACCCTAGGCTTTAAGTCTGTTGTCCACACGTACCATAAACAATTTGAATTACACATTAGACTCCAGTACTTGTCATAATCCATTAAACAGTAGACAGGGCAGAGGAGACTAGGATTTTTATGTCGAGACAAACAGGCTTCATTTACGTTCACTCAGCGACTAAACCAGAAAAACCCCCGCCGCGGCAGTGTGCCACAAGCCAGGGCATTTGGACATCTTCAAGAATCTTCAAGCACTACATTCAAGCTTCGGGCTAATTCCGATAAAGACGACGCCAATTTAAGATCCGACGGAGATTTCACATTAACGATATGGCCAAAGAGAACAACTCCTCCGCTATGGATGTGAAACCAGAATTCGGAATCCGTTGATCAGATTAATTGCCCTAGGTTCTCTATCAATGGTAATTTACTCTCCCATAAAGCTCTAGACAGCTAATTTTGAGGTGATAATTTAGTTTTTTTTTTGGTGAATTTACAGTTTTGCAGCTCTTGAAATCCGCTCAGATGCAGCATGGATTGCGGTTTGGCGATTACGCTCGTTACCGGTATAACCTACGCTTGTACACATATGGTATATGTTTATGAGTAATTTGGTACGATGAAATTCCGGGAAGTAGGCTTAATTTTTGTAAGAAATGCCGTTTGATATTGTTTTTACCAGTATATAAGCGTAAGTGTGCTCTATATAGGTTTATGAGGGAATTTATGACATTGATCATTGGAGGTGGCAGGGTTAAATTTGTGAAAAATGTGGTGTTATAGAGTTGTACTTTTGAGGGAATGTGAAATTGACCAGTTTTTGCAAATTTTTTAGGAGGTACTGTACTGCTCGGCTCAGGAGATTGTACAAGTCGTTGAAATTCACGCATGGCCGTGGTAAATATAGTAAAAGGGCGATTACAGCTTCTATGGTCACTGAAGTGAGGTAATAGATTGCCAAGACCAATGGTTGAATTTGATTGACATTACAGTTGGTAAATGTTTTAATTTCGCTTTTGCTATTTGAAGAACAAATATGCTGTTTTGTCTCTCATTAATAATTTCTTAATGGTCGTTAATCTATCCTGATTCTGCGTGGTGGTTGGGGACACTGTAGGTATCTTCATGTGGTTCTTTATACAGCAGAAAGAGCTTGGAGCCATGCTATGGAAAAGAAAACGCTGCCAGATGGTCCAAATGCACGTCAGCGTGGCTATCTGATTGGTAGGCTGCGAAAAGCAGTCAAATGGGCTACTTTGTTTCAAGACTTGTGTTCCATTAAGGGAGATTCTAGGACATCTTTGGAAGCAGAGGTGTGCTGATTAATTCATCATTTTGCACAGCTGCTGTGCCCTGTATACAAATAAAGCTATTTTCGGTCAAAATACAATAAGAATATGCAAATTAAGGTTCTATTGGTAAATATTAGTTATAATCATACAAAAAGAGAAGATAGCCCACAAGTTGGGCCCAATTACATACATGTGTTTATACTATTATTATTAAGCAAAATCAAATAGATATATATATATATGTGTGTGTGTGTGTTTAAAAAAATGTATTCACACACATAATTAGTGAGAAATGAAAAATTCATATTTTGAAATGTGAGGGATGGAGAAATTCATTTTGTGTAATGTGAGGGATGAAAAAAATCATTTTATAAAATATGAGGGACGAAAAAATTTATTTTATAAAATGTGGAGGACTATAGATGAGATTATGTAAAATATAATTTGACAAATTTACCCTTAAAAAATGATCATGTGCCTTGCACATGATGGATTCCGGCCAAAAAATGATCGAAAACCTAGTTAGGGACTAAATTTGTCCGATGTGAATATGTAAGGGATATAAAATTACACTTTTAAAAGTGAGGGACGAAAAAAGTTATTTTACAAAATGTAAGGGACGTTTTGGACGATTTTCCCTAAATAAAATGAAGAAACTAGTTGTGGATACTAAATTCATATAAATGATGGACGAAATTAGTAAGCTATGATAAATTTAACAATGACCCCTAGGCTTTAAGTCTGTTGTCCACGTACCCATAAACAATTTGAATTACACATTAGACTCCAGTACTTGTCATAATCCATTAAACAGTAGACAACGCAGAGGAGACTAGGATTTTTATATCGAGACCAAACAGGCTTCATTTACGTTCACTCAGCGACTAAACCAGAAAACCCCGCCGCCGGCAGTGTGCCACAAGCCAGGGGCATTTTGGACATCTTCAGAATCTTTCAAGCCACCTACATTCAAGCTGTCGGGCTAATTCCGATAAAGACGACGCCAAATTTAAGATCCGACGGAGATTTCACATTAACGATATGGCCAAAGAGAACAACTCCTCCGCTATGGATGTGGACAACTAGAATTCGGAATCCGATGATCAGATTAATAGCCCTAGGTTCTCTATCAATGGTAATTTACTCTCCCATAAAGCTCTAGACAGCTAATTTTGAGGTGATAATTTAGTTTTTTTTTTTGGTGAATTTACAGTTTTGCAGCTCTTGAAATCCGCTCAGATGCAGCATGGATTGCGGTTTGGCGATTACGCTCGTTACCGGTATAACCTACGCTTGTACACATATGGTATATGTTTATGAGTAATTTGGTACGATGAAATTCCGGGAAGTAGGCTTAATTTTTGTAAGAAATGCCGTTTGATATTGTTTTTACCAGTATATAAGCGTAAGTGTGCTCTATATAGGTTTATGAGGGAATTTACGACATTGATCATTGGAGGTGGCAGGGTTAAATTTGTGAAAAATGTGGTGTGATAGAGTTGTACTTTTGAGGGAATGTGAAATTGACCAGTTTTTGCAAATTTTTTAGGAGGTACTGTACTGCTCGGCTCAGGAGATTGTACAAGTCGTTGAAATTCACGCATGGCCGTGGTAAATATAGTAAAAGGGCGATTACAGCTTCTATGGTCACTGAAGTGAGGAAATAGATTGCCAAGACCAATGGTTGAATTTGATTGACATTACAGTTGGTAAATGTTTTAATTTCGCTTTTGCTATTTGAAGAACAAATATGCTGTTTTGTCTCTCATTAATAATTTCTTAATGGTCGTTAATCTATCCTGATTCTGCTTGGTGGTTGGGGACACTGTAGGTATCTTCATGTGGTTCTTTATACTGCAGAAAGAGCTTGGAGCCATGCTATGGAAAAGAAAACGCTGCCAGATGGTCCAAATGCACGTCAGCGTGGCTATCTGATTGGTAGGCTGCGAAAAGCAGTCAAATGGGCTACTTTGTTTCAAGACTTGTGTTCCATTAAGGGAGATTTTAGGACATCTTTGGAAGCAGAGGTGTGCTGATTAATTCATCATTTTGCACTGCTGTTGTACCCTGTATACAAATAAAGCTATTTTCGGTCAAAATACAATAAGAATATGCAAATTAAGATTCTATTGGTAAATATTAGTTATAATCATACAAAAAGAGAAGATAGCCCACAAGTTGGGCCCAATTACATACATGTGTTTATACTATTATTATTAAGCAAAATCAAATAGATATATATATATATATATGTGTGTGTGTGTGTGTTTTAAAAAATGTATTCACACACATAATTAGTGAGAAATGAAAAATTCATTTTTTGAAATGTGAGGGATGGAGAAATTCATTTTGTGTAATGTGAGGGATGAAAAAAATCATTTTATAAAATATGAGGGACGAAAAAATTTATTTTATAAAATGTGGAGGACTATAGATGAGATTATGTAAAATATAATTTGACAAATTTACCCTTAAAAAATGATCATGTGCCTTGCACATGATGGATTCCGGCCAAAAAATGATCGAAAACCTAGTTAAGGACTAAATTTGTCCGATGTGAATATGTAAGGGATATAAAATTACACTTTTAAAAGTGAGGGACGAAAAAAGTTATTTTACAAAATGTAAGGGACGTTTTGGACGATTTTCCCTAAATAAAATGAAGAAACTAGTTGTGGATACTAAATTCATATAAATGATGGACGAAATTAGTAAGCTACGATAAATTTAACAATGACCCCTAGGCTTTAAGTCTGTTGTCCACGTACCCATAAACAATTTGAATTACACATTAGACTCCAGTACTTGTCATAATCCATTAAACAGTAGACAACGCAGAGGAGACTAGGATTTTTATGTCGAGACCAAACAGGCTTCATTTACGTTCACTCAGCGACTAAACCAGAAAACCCCGCCGCCGGCAGTGTGCCACAAGCCAGGGGCATTTTGGACATCTTCAGAATCTTTCAAGCCACCTACATTCAAGCTGTCGGGCTAATTCCGATAAAGACGACGCCAAATTTAAGATCTGACGGAGATTTCACATTAACGATATGGCCAAAGAGAACAACTCCTCCGCTATGGATGTGGACAACCAAAATTCGGAATCCGTTGATCAGATTAATAGCCCAAGGTTCTCTATCAATGGTAATTTACTCTCCCATAAAGCTCTAGACAGCTAATTTTGAGGTGATAATTTAGTTTTTTTTTTGGTGAATTTACAGTTTTGCAGCTCTTGAAATCCGCTCAGATGCAGCATGGATTGCTGTTTGGCGATTACGCTCGTTACCGGTATAACCTACGCTTGTACACTTATGGTATATGTTTATGAGTAATTTGGTACGATGAAGTTCCGGGAAGTAGGCTTAATTTTTGTAAGAAATGCCGTTTGATATTGTTTTTACCAGTATATAAGCGTAAGTGTGCTCTATATAGGTTTATGAGGGAATTTATGACATTGATCATTGGAGGTGGCAGGGTTAAATTTATGAAAAATGTGGTGTGATAGAGTTGTACTTTTGAGGGAATGTGAAATTGACCAGTTTTTGCAAATTTTTTAGGAGGTACTGTACTGCTCGGCTCAGGAGATTGTACAAGTCGTTGAAATTCACGCATGGCCGTGGTAAATATAGTAAAAGGGCGATTACAGCTTCTATGGTCACTGAAGTGAGGTAATAGATTGCCAAGACCAATGGTTGAATTTGATTGACATTACAGTTGGTAAATGTTTTTATTTCGCTTTTGCTATTTGAAGAACAAATATGCTGTTTTGTCTCTCATTAATAATTTCTTAATGGTCGTTAATCTATCCTGATTCTGCGTGGTGGTTGGGGACACTGTAGGAATCTTCATGTGGTTCTTTATACAGCAGAAAGAGCTTGGAGCCATGCTATGGAAAAGAAAATGCTGCCAGATGGTCCAAATGCACGTCAGCGTGGCTATCTGATTGGTAGGCTGCGAAAAGCAGTCAAATGGCCTACTTTGTTTCAAGACTTGTGTTCCATTAAGGGAGATTCTAGGACATCTTTGGAAGCAGATGTGTGCTGATTAATTCATCATTTTGCACTGCTGCTGTACCCTGTATACAAATAAAGCTATTTTCGGTCAAAATACAATAAGAATATGCAAATTAAGATTCTATTGATAAATATTAGTTATAATCATACAAAAAGAGAAGATAGCCCACAAGTTGGGGCCAATTACATACATGTGTTTATACTATTATTATTAAGCAAAATCAAATAGATATATATATATATATATATATGTGTGTGTGTGTTTTTAAAAAAATGTATTCACACACATAATTAGTGAGAAATGAAAAATTCATTTTTTGAAATGTGAGGGATGGAGAAATTCATTTTGTGTAATGTGAGGGATGAAAAAAATCATTTTATAAAATATGAGGGACGAAAAAATTTATTTTATAAAATGTGGAGGACTATAGATGAGATTATGTAAAATATAATTTGACAAATTTACCCTTAAAAAATGATCATGTGCCTTGCACATGATGGATTCCGGCCAAAAAACGATCGAAAACCTAGTTAGGGACTAAATTTGTCCGATGTGAATATGTAAGGGATATAAAATTACACTTTTAAAAGTGAGGGACGAAAAAAGTTATTTTACAAAATGTAAGGGACGTTTTGGACGATTTTCACTAAATAAAATGAAGAAACTAGTTGTGGATACTAAATTCATATAAATGATGGACGAAATTAGTAAGCTATGATAAATTTAACAATGACCCCTAGGCTTTAAGTCTGTTGTCCACGTACCCATAAACAATTTGAATTACACATTAGACTCCAGTACTTGTCATAATCCTTTAAACAGTAGACAACGCAGAGGAGACTAGGATTTTTATGTCGAGACCAAACAGGCTTCATTTACGTTCACTCAGCGACTAAACCAGAAAACCCCGCCGCCGGCAGTGTGCCACAAGCCAGGGGCATTTTGGACATCTTCAGAATCTTTCAAGCCACCTACATTCAAGCTGTCGGGCTAATTCCGATAAAGACGACGCCAAATTTAAGATCTGACGGAGATTTCACATTAACGATATGGCCAAAGAGAACAACTCCTCTGCTATGGATGTGGACAACCAGAATTCGGAATCCGTTGATCAGATTAATAGCCCTAGGTTCTCTATCAATGGTAATTTACTCTCCCATAAAGCTCTAGACAGCTAATTTTGAGGTGATAATTTAGTTTTTTTTTGGTGAATTTACAGTTTTGCAGCTCTTGAAATCCGCTCAGATGCAGCATGGATTGCTGTTTGGCGATTACGCTCGTTACCGGTATAACCTACACTTGTACGCTTATGGTATATGTTTATGAGTAATTTGGTACGATGAAGTTCCGGGAAGTAGGCTTAATTTTTGTAAGAAATGCCGTTTGATATTGTTTTTACCAGTATATAAGCGTAAGTGTGCTCTATATAGGTTTATGAGGGAATTTATGACATTGATCATTGGAGGTGGCAGGGTTAAATTTATGAAAAATGTGGTGTGATACAGTTGTACTTTTGAGGGAATGTGAAATTGACCAGTTTTTGCAAATTTTTTAGGAGGTACTGTACTGCTCGGCTCAGGAGATTGTACAAGTCGTTGAAATTCACGCTTGGCCGTGGTAAATATAGTAAAAGGGCGATTACAGCTTCTATGGTCACTGAAGTGAGGTAATAGATTGCCAAGACCAATGGTTGAATTTGATTGACATTACAGTTGGTAAATGTTTTTATTTCGCTTTTGCTATTTGAAGAACAAATATGCTGTTTTGTCTCTCATTAATAATTTCTTAATGGTCGTTAATCTATCCTGATTCTGCGTGGTGGTTGGGGACACTGTAGGTATCTTCATGTGGTTCTTTATACAGCAGAAAGAGCTTGGAGCCATGCTATGGAAAAGAAAACGCTGCCAGATGGTCCAAATGCACGTCAGCGTGGCTATCTGATTGGTAGGCTGCGAAAAGCAGTCAAATGGGCTACTTTGTTTCAAGACTTGTGTTCCATTAAGGGAGATTCTAGGACATCTTTGGAAGCAGAGGTGTGCTGATTAATTCATCATTTTGCACTGCTGCTGTACCCTGTATACAAATAAAGCTATTTTCGGTCAAAATACAATAAGAATATGCAAATTAAGGTTCTATTGGTAAATATTAGTTATAATCATACAAAAAGAGAAGATAGCCCACAAGTTGGGCCCAATTACATACATGTGTTTATACTATTATTATTAAGCAAAATCAAATAGAATATATATATATATATGTGTGTGTGTGTGTGTTTAAAAAAATGTATTCACACACATAATTAGTGAGAAATGAAAAATTCATTTTTTGAAATGTGAGGGATGGAGAAATTCATTTTGTGTAATGTGAGGGATGAAAAAAATCATTTTATAAAATATGAGGGACGAAAAAATTTATTTTATAAAATGTGGAGGACTATAGATGAGATTATGTAAAATATAATTTGACAAATTTACCCTTAAAAAATGATCATGTGCCTTGCACATGATGGATTCCGGCCAAAAAATGATCGAAAACCTAGTTAGGGACTAAATTTGTCCGATGTGAATATGTAAGGGATATAAAATTACACTTTTAAAAGTGAGGGACGAAAAAAGTTATTTTACAAAATGTAAGGGACGTTTTGGACGATTTTCCCTAAATAAAATGAAGAAACTAGTTGTGGATACTAAATTCATATAAATGATGGACGAAATTAGTAAGCTATGATAAATTTAACAATGACCCCTAGGCTTTAAGTCTGTTGTCCACGTACCCATAAACAATTTGAATTACACATTAGACTCCAGTACTTGTCATAATCCATTAAACAGTAGACAACGCAGAGGAGACTAGGATTTTTATGTCGAGACCAAACAGGCTTCATTTACGTTCACTCAGCGACTAAACCAGAAAACCCGCCGCCGGCAGTGTGCCACAAGCCAGGGGCATTTTGGACATCTTCAGAATCTTTCAAGCCACCTACATTCAAGCTGTCGGGCTAATTCCGATAAAGACGACGCCAAATTTAAGATCTGACGGAGATTTCACATTAACGATATGGCCAAAGAGAACAACTCCTCCGCTATGGATGTGGACAACCAGAATTCGGAATCCGTTGATCAGATTAATAGCCCTAGGTTCTCTATCAATGGTAATTTACTCTCCCATAAAGCTCTAGACAGCTAATTTTGAGGTGATAATTTAGTTTTTTTTTTTGGTGAATTTACAGTTTTGCAGCTCTTGAAATCGGCTCAGATGCAGCATGGATTGCGGTTTGGCGATTACGCTCGTTACCGGTATAACCTACGCTTGTACACTTATGGTATATGTTTATGAGTAATTTGGTACGATGAAGTTCCGGGAAGTAGGTTTAATTTTTGTAAGAAATGCCGTTTGATATTGTTTTTACCAGTATATAAGCGTAAGTGTGCTCTATATAGGTTTATGAGGGAATTTATGACATTGATCATTAGAGGTGGCAGGGTTAAATTTGTGAAAAATGTGGTGTGATAGAGTTGTACTATTGAGGGAATGTGAAATTGACCAGTTTTTGCAAATTTTTTAGGAGGTACTGTACTGCTCGGCTCAGGAGATTGTACAAGTCGTTGAAATTCACGCATGGCCGTGGTAAATATAGTAAAAGGGCGATTACAGCTTCTATGGTCACTGAAGTGAGGTAATAGATTGCCAAGACCAATGGTTGAATTTGATTGACATTACAGTTGGTAAATGTTTTAATTTCGCTTTTGCTATTTGAAGAACAAATATGCTGTTTTGTCTCTCATTAATAATTTCTTAATGGTCGTTAATCTATCCTGATTCTGCGTGGTGGTTGGGGACACTGTAGGTATCTTCATGTGGTTCTTTATACAGCAGAAAGAGCTTGGAGCCATGCTATGGAAAAGAAAACGCTGCCAGATGGTCCAAATGCACGTCAGCGTGGCTATCTGATTGGTAGGCTGCGAAAAGCAGTCAAATGGGCTACTTTGTTTCAAGACTTGTGTTCCATTAAGGGAGATTCTAGGACATCTTTGGAAGCAGAGGTGTGCTGATTAATTCATCATTTTGCACTGCTGCTGTACCCTGTATACAAATAAAGCTATTTTCGGTCAAAATACAATAAGAATATGCAAATTAAGGTTCTATTGGTAAATAATAGTTATAATCATACAAAAAGAGAAGATAGCCCACAAGTTGGGCCCAATTACATACATGTGTTTATACTATTATTATTAAGCAAAATCAAATAGATATATATATATATATATATATATGTGTGTGTGTGTGTGTGTGTTTAAAAAAATGTATTCACACACATAATTAGTGAGAAATGAAAAATTCATTTTTTCAAATGTGAGGGATGGAGAAATTCAGTTTGTGTAATGTGAGGGATTAAAAAAATCATTTTATAAAATATGAGGGACGAAAAAATTTATTTTATAAACTGTGGAGGACTATAGATGAGATTATGTAAAATATAATTTGACAAATTTACCCTTAAAAAATGATCATGTGCCTTGCACATGATGGATTCCGGCCAAAAAATGATCGAAAACCTAGTTAGGGACTAAATTTGTCCGATGTGAATATGTAAGGGATATAAAATTACACTTTTAAAAGTGAGGGACGAAAAAAGTTATTTTACAAAATATAAGGGACGTTTTGGACGATTTTCCCTAAATAAAATGAAGAAACTAGTTGTGGATACTAAATTCATATAAATGATGGACGAAATTAGTAAGCTATGATAAATTTAACAATGACCCCTAGGCTTTAAGTCTGTTGTCCACGTACCCATAAACAATTTGAATTACACATTAGACTCCAGTACTTGTCATAATCCATTAAACAGTAGACAACGCAGAGGAGACTAGGATTTTTATATCGAGACCAAACAGGCTTCATTTACGTTCACTCAGCGACTAAACCAGAAAACCCCGCCGCCGGCAGTGTGCCACAAGCCAGGGGCATTTTGGACATCTTCAGAATCTTTCAAGCCACCTACATTCAAGCTGTCGGGCTAATTCCGATAAAGACGACGCCAAATTTAAGATCCGACGGAGATTTCACATTAACGATATGGCCAAAGAGAACAACTCCTCCGCTATGGATGTGGACAACCAGAATTCGGAATCCGTTGATCAGATTAATTGCCCTAGGTTCTCTATCAATGGTAATTTACTCTCCCATAAAGCTCTAGACAGCTAATTTTGAGGTGATAATTTAGTTTTTTTTTTGGTGAATTTACAGTTTTGCAGCTCTTGAAATCCGCTCAGATGCAGCATGGATTGTGGTTTGGCGATTACGCTCGTTACCGGTATAACCTACGCTTGTACACATATGGTATATGTTTATGAGTAATTTGGTACGATGAAATTCCGGGAAGTAGGCTTAATTTTTGTAAGAAATGCCGTTTGATATTGTTTTTACCAGTATATAAGCGTAAGTGTGCTCTATATAGGTTTATGAGGGAATTTATGACATTGATCATTGGAGGTGGCAGGGTTAAATTTGTGAAAAATGTGGTGTGATAGAGTTGTACTTTTGAGGGAATGTGAAAATGACCAGTTTTTGCAAATTTTTTAGGAGGTACTGTACTGCTCGGCTCAGGAGATTGTACAAGTCGTTGAAATTCACGCATGGCCGTGGTAAATATAGTAAAAGGGCGATTACAGCTTCTATGGTCACTGAAGTGAGGTAATAGATTGCCAAGACCAATGGTTGAATTTGATTGACATTACAGTTGGTAAATGTTTTAATTTCGCTTTTGCTATTTGAAGAACAAATATGCTGTTTTGTCTCTCATTAATAATTTCTTAATGGTCGTTAATCTATCCTGATTCTGCGTGGTGGTTGGGGACACTGTAGGTATCTTCATGTGGTTCTTTATACAGCAGAAAGAGCTTGGAGCCATGCTATGGAAAAGAAAACGCTGCCAGATGGTCCAAATGCACGTCAGCGTGGCTATCTGATTGGTAGGCTGCGAAAAGCAGTTAAATGGACTACTTTGTTTCAAGACTTGTGTTCCATTAAGGGAGATTCTAGGACATCTTTGGAAGCAGAGGTGTGCTGATTAATTCATCATTTTGCACAGCTGCTGTGCCCTGTATACAAATAAAGATATTTTCGGTCAAAATACAATAAGAATATGCAAATTAAGGTTCTATTGGTAAATATTAGTTATAATCATACAAAAAGAGAAGATAGCCCACAAGTTGGGCCCAATTACATACATGTGTTTATATTATTATTATTAAGCAAAATCAAATAGATATATATATATATATATATATATGTGTGTGTGTGATGGTGTTTTAAAAAAATGCTATTCACACACATAATTAGTGCAGAATTGAAAAAATTCATTTTTTGAAATGTGAGGGATGGTCAGAAAATTCATTTTGTGTAATAGTGAGCGCGATGAAAAAAATCATTTTTATAAATATGAGGGACTGAAAAAATTATATTTTATCAAATGGTGCGAGGACTATAGATGCAGGGCATTATGTAAAATATCAATTGACAAATTTACCCTTAAAAAAATGCATCATGCTCGCCTTGCACCATGCTCATGCGATTCCGCC